CGGGGAAGCTTCATGCCAGGCACACGGAGGCTGTGACCCGGCTTCCAAGGAGGGTCCCCAGTCCCTCTGCTGGGGCCCCATGAGCGAGCGGTGTGTGCTGTCCGCTGAGGCGCACGCAGGCATTCAACACGCGTCTTACCCAGGTTTGTGTGTTTCACCACAGCTCAGAGTGGAAACGCTTGGCATATTCAAAATTCCAACCTTTCCTCGGAAGGAGGTGAACATTATCTCATCTGAGAAAAGGCTCTGTTACTCTTCCTGAGATTGATGATTCTTCATTAGCTCTATATCTTTCACAAGTATTTCACATTTTTCTAGAAAACGCATCAGTGTTATTTATAATTGACAACCTCCCCTTGGATGATTTAAGATGTACTCCTACCAAAGACTTGAGTCCAGATATTAAATATTATTCAATGTCGATTATGCTGTGATTATTCTGGAAGCTTTTCTTTACGTTCAATTTTCATTCATTTTGCTCATGACTGTAATTTAAATAAGGGATTTCCTTTATTGGGTTAAACGTGTCCCAGGGCTTTAGCCGATAGCTGTGCAGAGCACACAGCTTCGAGCATCTTCTGAGATCTGGGGCCAAACTAAAATAAAGTGTGTTGTGTCTCCTGACTGGAGGAGACTCTATTATAATTCTTTTTTTTAAAACAAATTAAATTCATTTATTTATTTGTTTATTTTTGGCTGTGTTGGGTCTTCGTTCCTGTGCGAGGGCTTTCTCTAGTTGCAGCAAGCGGGGGCCACTCTTCGTTGCGGGGCGCGGGCCTCTCGCTGTGGCGGCCTCTCTTGTTGCGGGGCACAGACTTCAGATGCGCAGGCTCAGTAGTTGTGCTCACGGGCCCAGCCGCTCCGCGGCATGTGGGATCTTCGCGGACCAGGGCTCGAACCCGTGTCCCCTGCACTGGCAGGCGGATTCTCAACCACTGCGCCACCAGGGAAGCCCCTATTATAATTCTTTTGAAGACTGTGAACAAAAACATAGGCAATGGCAGGATTATTTTTAATACCTTAAAGCATTTGCAATATTTCTGTCACAGTGCTATGGAAACTGCATTGGGCAACAAGGAGACGCCTCGCTTGAGTGCAAGGGTCCTTCCTGCAGAGCTGAGGCAACGCTGACTTATTTCTTTAACTGGATGGCCCACTCCATCAGTTTGAGCAAATTCACATTCAGGTAATCACTCAAGCCCCCACCTGATCGGACTGAGGGAAGCCCGGAGCCTGGTCTTGGACTCCACTCCGTGTCACCTGCGAATCCCCACCCCAAGGGGCAGGCTTTGTTTCCAAGGCCCCGCATCCCACAGAGGCAGTTGCCCTGGGAGGACTCAGCCTGCCAGGGGTCTGGGCTCACCCTCTTTTATACCTGGGGCAGCAGCGACGGCCGTCAGACATTCCAGGGCCAGTCCCCGCCCGCAGGCCACCTTCAGCCAGCGGGGCTGCCCAGGGGGCACCTCCTGGAATCACCCTCACACTCGGGCCATGGTCCCCAGGCTCCATCAGTTTGAGCAGCCGGGTCCTGTGTCCTCCGAGCTGTCTCCTCTTTGGACAGATGCTCTCTATTCCTTCATCCTAAATTCACGGACAAGGCCTCTGGATCCTTTTCCATTCTGTCGTTAATATCTAGTCCCCAGAATTGGAAACAATCCTGCCGATGGGGTCCGACAACCCGAGGTGCGGTGAGATGATTCCCACCCTGTCACATCCCCTCACGCATCCTAAGATTCCATCACCTCCCCAGGCGGCCACGCTGACACTCATGTTAGCTCATTGTGCTGTGGGCGCCTGAGTTCCCAAGGTCTCCTCATACGAACGGCTAAGCCAGGCTTCTCCATCATGGACAGATACAACCGGCTGACTGAACACGTGCAAGTTTAACTGAGTGATAGAAACCTGTGCTTGCAATGCTTCTGCTATTCAGATCACACCCTTAAGTTCCTTTATGCTGCAGCTCACCTCCTTTGGCTGCTTCAGCCAGAAACTGCCAACTGGGGATCTGGGGGCCAATGGGGCCACACTCACTTTGTTTGGCTAATAGGGTGTTTTTCTGAGAACTGATGCCAACCGTTGAACACAGGAGAACCCACCTAAAAAGCAGTCCCCCAACTTCTCTGGAAAAGCAGAAAGATGGGGCGGGGCGGGGCCGCCACGTCCACCTTTGGAAGGCCCAGCACAGCCCCCCAGGCCCTGCACAGCGCCCCCAGGCCCTGCCACGCAGCCCTCCCGGCATCTGGGGCCCTCTGGCCTGCAGCCCGCCTGTGCTACGGGAGTGGATGAAGGCAGGGGCCCAAGGTGAGAAAGGTGGGATTCGGTGGCCCCGTGTTTGCCCTTTGTGGCCCTGGTTGTGTGTAACAAGGGAAGCCGAGTGCAGGGGTGGTTCCCTCTTCCCAGCACGCCATGGGTCCTGGAACGCTTTCCTCTCCTTCTGGGTGACCCCTGAGGTGCCGCCAGGCTTCAGATGATTCCCCCCCCCCCCTGCAGCCAGCACACATTGGTCCAGAAAGCGACCACCTGGGCCAAGCTGGGTGGCAGAGGTTTAAAATTTCCAGCCTACCACAGTGTCAGATGAGTGTCTTTTGTCAGTGGCTGAAGCCATGAACGAAATTCTTCTGGAGTTTGACTGTGTTTCCTGTCATGTGGGTTGGGAGGCAGAGGCAGCTGGTACAAGAGAGGGAA